TTTTTTATTTATATTTAATGCTTCATGCATGCGTCCAAAGATTCGATGTGACGAGAAACCTTGAAAAATTTTACAAAATTTTGGGAACTAAAGCACCAGGTGAGGTGGTTTTGACAAGGGCTTAATTGATTACTACTCCGTACTGATCTAGTAATTGAACTGGTCACTTCCCCTTGACTTTGCACCATTTCAAATCGCATGCAATGTAATTAGCACAGTTTTTTCTTTCACACAAATAAGTGAGCTTGTAGTCAGATATTTCTAAATAGAAAAATAAGTATCCTAACCTTTATTTCCACCGGTTTATGCAGTATGAACTTCTCCGATGATACGCCAGGTCTTGCCATGTAGTACCGCGCTTTACCTGCACCAATCTGCATAGACGAACGCTTAGATGATGCCATATTCTGCAACACTACTTCAGCAGTACTTTTCAACGAATAAATAGTATTTTTCTCTCACAACAGATCAGCATAATCATCAACATAAGCCAAATTTCAGCAAAACGACGTTCTTTCGAAGATGAGTCGTTATCTTTTCCCTTGTCGATTTTGTAAGACTAGACTTACAAGGATCATGTAGTACCACTTCTCTAATTATAAATACAAGACAGTAATGGATATTTCCGAAAAAGTATCGCTTTATACCACACCAAAGCAGATGAGTCGTTATCGTTCATACATTCAAACAATGTCGATTTATTTGAACCTCCGATTAGCTGCATTGGCTAGACTAGACTCCACACACCCTGTTGGAAGATGATCAGCTAATCCAAGTAATGAGATTAAAAGGTAATGTCAGCTACATATCCAACTACATAAGTCTTATCGGTGGCAACCCTAAGGTCATAGGGCCTCTTGCGCTATATAATAAAAGGGGACTTTTATTCCCCCCAATCTCCCACTTGAGCAATGTGGAGAGTAGTTGGGAAGTAGCGGCGCTATTTTCAAGCTAATACTAAGCAATTTAGCGGCACTAAAACATGGGGCAGGGTAGTTAGGGAAAAAGACCAATATTGATGTACTTGAGCAATTTCAGGGGTTGCAACAAGTTAAGTATGCGATATATATGTGTGTGTGTATATATATATATATATATGTGTGTGTGTGTATATATATATATATATATATATATATATATATATATATACACATGATGTATGTATGGAATATATATACATATAATGAAATAATCATTCTAAAATCACTCATTTTCCTTTTCCAAACAAACACATGTTAAACTATTTTGTCTCCCCAAATTACTCCACACAACCAATTTACCTCTTTGCATCGTATACAACATTAAGTGCGTGATTGGTTTGCTAGATATAGAGGAGCTTGGGCCATGAGGTGTAGGATTGATTAGTTGTATGCTTGTTTGAGCCTAGTCCGACTGATGCAAAAGTACTGCTCCAGCCTGGCTGCGCAGAAACAGAGTTCAATCTCGTTTCCGGTGAGCCTGGCTCGCGCGGCGCAAGCGTGGACGTCCAGCTGTTTAGTTCCTTTTCGCTTTGTCTGTAATGTCCCCGTCGATTTGACCTACCAAACAACTAGCTCTTGTGCCATCTACGCCTGGTTCCTGCGGGCCTGGTTGGCAAGTGCAAACCTGGCTCAACTCCACCGGCAACCAATCGCGCCCTAAGGCTTTGTTTAGTCGGTCAAATTTTGAAAATTTGTCTATTGTAGCACTTTCGTTTTTATTTGATAATTAGTGTTCAATTATGGATTAATTAGGTTCAAAACGTTCGTCTCGCAATTTCCAACCAAACTATACAATTAATTTTTTTTTTTCGTCTACATTTAATGCTCCATGCATATATCGCAAGATTCGATGTGATGACTACTGTAACACTTTTTGGGAAAACTTTTTGAAACTAAACGTGGCCTAAGTATCCTTACATTTGCGTACTCATCTCAAACTTTCTAAGTTTGACATAGGGAACTCCTAAAAGAGATGAGTGGGCGCTAAGTATTGGGTAACCATCCTTCGTGTTTCACGCAAATTGGATTTGTTAGTTCTAAAAGTTAACTGCTAAAAATAAATGTTGTGGAACCAAACAGGCTTAGCTTATAGCATGGTTAACTACTACCTTTGTTCAAAAAAAACTTGAGGTTTTATTTTGTCCTAAGTTAATCCGAAGAGCTCAAAGCCCGGATCCCGCCGTCACCACCTCTGCTGCCACTGCCTTCGCCGCCGCCGCGACCTTGGCCAAGGGCATTGCAGCCACCACGAAGCTCCAGATCTCCTTGCTCCATTGTGCCACGGCCATCTATTGCACGACGAGGATCCGTTATATGGACTAGGCGCCATCAACGTGGTCACCAGGATTGAAGATTTTGGGAGCTATGGAGATCGAGGATTAGAGAGTTGGGGGCGGTTGTGGTGGAGAGAATGACGGGAAACTTCGATCAACCGAGGAGAGGAGAGGGCATGGGAGAACGACACGCTTAATGCAGGAGAGAGAGACGGGGGAGGGGGGTGCGTGCCTTCGTTAAATGCCACGGGGACTCCGAGGCATGCCGGTGGAGCCGTCCACCCTAGGAATCGATTTATTCGTGGACAAGTTTTTGGCCTAGGGATTGATTCTTTCAGAGACAGAGGGGCTGCAAAATATTAATTCGTATATTACCAAATTAGTATCATTAGAGTTATTACATAACTTATTTTCATTGTATATCTATATTTAATACCATAAATATAAACAATTTTATCTATAAGCTTTGACAAATTTAAGACAATTTGAATTAGAAAAAACTGAAAGATCAAGCAGCATGTTCGCTTGCTCGTAAACGATCGTAAATTTTCAGCCGGAAACAGTGTTTTTCTCTCACACCAAACCAGCCAGCAGTAAATAATCCACGATACGATACGGCCTCCCGAACAGGCTGAAGGTTTTTGGGGTGGGGTGGAGGTAATATTAGCTAGGCAATCATCCAATGGTTATATCGGCCTTGTTCGGCTAACCCCAAACCCGGCTTGATCTGCTTCTTTTTTCATCCGGGACAGTATTTTTCTCTCACTGATTCAAGTATGAACAGTAATTTTCAGCCGCTACAGTGATTTTTTGGGTCAGCTGAACACAGCCATCATTACTTGGCTAAACTCAGCTAATAACCGTTAATAGATTCCCAAATAACTCTTTCGTGTTCCGACCGCTCCTTTGTTCACACACTATTTTTTAGACAACCCACAGCATTCCAATCAGCTATTAGTTGATGGAATATACAACTTCTAGCTAGTGCTTCGCCATTATATATTAGCTACCAGACAGCTAACTAGTATTTCGGAGTAGATGCTAATGGACATACCGGTTCCTGACCCTCCAAACCCATGGTTTCCGGTTGAAACCGGCCGGAGGTCTACGGTGCCTTGCCTCACCGGTTAATTAATCTGGCACGTCACGAAGCAGCTGACCTCCAATTGCTGATTCCATCTCCTACCAACTCCTTGAAACTGTTGCCTCGTTGCTACCTCAGCTCTCGTCAGGCGTCGGTAACATGTTCGTTGTTCAGACTTTGATTGCAATGGTTCTTTTTTTCTAATGATTGTAATAGTTTTTGCCATTGATCCTGAGCCTGAATTCCGAGTCGTCCGTCGCGTTCAACGGCATGCATGCAAGGCGAGTCAGACTCAGACAGTCAGACAGGGGCAAGTAAGCCGGCCGGCCATATCAGATGTGCAGGCGTATCCCTGCAATATCCAGGACCGGTTCTTCTGGGGCCTGCTTCTTGTCCTTGTCCAAGGTGAAGGTGAAGGTGAAGGTGAAGGTTCAGGTTCAGGGTTCAGCAAGACTGTTCCGTTCGCTTCGCTGAATAAACAAGCCGAAATATTGTTCCGGCTGATTCGTTGTGAGAGAAAAACACTGTTTCGGCTGAAAAAATAAGCTGAAAAAGACGGATTATAAGAAAAACGAACAGGGCCTGTGCCTCCTGCAAGATTTCTCCATGCTGGCTGTCTTTTTCCAACGAACACGAAGGGGATTGACATGCCTTCTGGTTCTTGACAAGTTCGTTGGGTTGCCGGATCAAGCTGTCGATCATGATCGGTCAATTTAAGGGGCTCCGCGTAGGTGTGTGTTGATTTTGTGAGAACAGAACGCCCGGCCATGTCTTTTCTGGAACGAAAAAGGTGAGACTTGATGGCCATGGAGAAATGGCTCAAAAAATCGGCATTGGATGGTGATTTGGATTTTTGGAGGGCCGTTTGGAAGGATTTGGTGGACCATTCTAGGAAATGTCTGACAAGTTGACGAGCGTGGGTTTTTCTTGCTTTTTTCTCTGAAGTCCTCGATGCAAGTTCACCAACCAAAATTCAGGGAACGAAATGAAGGTCTAAAACCAAAATTCCAAAGCTAAGGTTCGAGGGAGAGGGACTTGACAGGCCCACTAACAATTCACTTGGAGCGGAGGCCTGTGAGGTCATCTTCAGGCCCGATCTTAAGGTGGCCCACAGAAGGTTTTGCCGACATTCAAATCTAGCGCTGTCGTCAAATTGAAGCTGGACTTTCGGCGTGAACAGTTTGTGCCCATTATGGAAAAAAGTTCGTCCGACCTCCCTTGGTTATACTGTGAGTCCGATTTACCTTTTTTAATTAGAAAATTGATTTTTAGATTCCTCACTCTCTAAACCGCCTGATTTACCTCCCTTAGAAGTTTTGGCTCGCGTGGCTCTACGTCATCCATCCTATGTGGCGTCATGCTAGCAAGATAAATCAGACTTTCATGAATTCAACTAGACTTTATGGAAAAGTTGTAGAATGTTTTTTTCATAAAATTATCCAAACAATTTTCTAGAATAAATTTGCATTAACAAATACTAAAAATTATAGAGTCATCAGGCGCTTTGGAGCGTATTTGGAGCAAACATGACAAGCAATTTGGCTTGGACATGTTGCAGGACAAAAAGTGCATTTTTCCAGTATTGATCACATCTCATTATACATACAGAGATGTAATTGGCATTAATACCTAATAATGGTCATCAAAGAACTAGGTCGGACCCTAAATCATCTGAAGAGAGTAAAGCAACGAACGACGAACGCCTGAGGAGGTCCTACATGCTGCTGGGCCTCTCCCTCGTATGACGGGATGCATCTTCCGTTGCTTTTGCTCAAACATCTTTGCTGCCTCCTTGTCGTTGATCTTCTGAATGGTGTGTTTACGCTTGATCTTCTTGGCCTCTTCGTAACCCTCACGCAACTTGCGTTTTGTAGCCTCCATCTTCTTGCTCTCGTCGACTGTGGTCTCGTCGACTGTGGGCTTCTTGGTCTCACTCATGTTCGGTGTCGACACGGTAGCTGTGGTCGGCAGCATCTTCGCTGGTGGAACATACACCTTCTTCTTCTGTGCCTCGGCGGCGGGGACGGTAGGAAACATCTTCTTCGCCGGCGGTATGTGTAGCTTTATCTCGGCGGCGGGAAGCATCTTAGCAGGTTGTATGTGCAACTTCTCCTTGTGTCCTCGCGCGTTGCCATCGGCGATCACTGCAGAGATGCCCTGGTGTGGGAACAGATCATCAGCAGAGAGCTTGTCGAACTGCTCCTCCTTGACTGCTGTAGTTGTGGCGACGTTGGCCGCCCTCCACCCGCGCACGACGTCGCCCGCGAGCCTGCGGATCCGGGCCGAGCCGTGGTTCCCGAGGGCGCCGATGGTCCTTGCGAGGTCGGTGGACGCCAGCAAGCCGTGCGGGACGGGCTCCACCCGCAGAGTCTCGAGCGCTTCGACCATGGCGTCGTCCAGCGCGCCGCAGAGCTGCTCGGCCACGCCGTCGTCCGTGGCGCCGCGGAGCAGCTGGAGGATCCGGACCCTCACGTCCCGGAACGCGGCGCGCGGGTGGCCGCCTGCCTTCTCGATCGCGTCGTCGATAGCGCTGAAAGCGCCGTAGAACGGCCTCCACCTTCGCAGGGGGCTTCCGCTTTGCTCGTTGGCCATGGTGGCGGCGGATGCGGGCAAGCCGGAGGGTAGGGTCGGCGGGCGGATGCGGGCAAGCCGGCGGGTAGGGTCGGTGGATGAGTGCAGTGGACGAGCAGATGCGGATGGAATTGGGAAATTGGTGCGTCTTGCTATATAGAACGCGCCGATCGAATCCGACTCAAGTTCCTCTGCATTCAAGCGTGAGCGTGACGCGTTTCCGCGAGCACATCGAATTGGAGCAATCCGACACCGACTCGAGCTCGGCGACTCTGCGCGCGCTGCAGGCAACTTGTAGAAATTGTTTTACCACCATGGGAACCACTGGGACGCTGCGGTTGCCATGTGCGCCGCCGCTAGCCATGGCCGCCGTCACGCGCCTGCTCGAGGGCAGCTCGGCTCGGGTATATTCCTGCTTTACTGACGCAAGCGCCCACACTAAGGTAACCTCCTGCTGCTCTCCTACCCTTTTCCCATTCCCACAGAGCCACAGTTCGCCGGAAAACCCTGCGCGCCGCCGTGAACGCCTACTGCTCCATCGCCGCGCTGTGCGCCGCCGCCGCCGCATATGGCCGGCCGGCCACGTGCCGCCTCCGGAAAACCTCCTGGAATCCCTGGGTGCGCGAGATTCTAGGGAGTCTCGCTGTCCCATTACCTACCGACGGTGAGGCTATGCCTGGCCAAATCGAAAATAGTTTGGCGTCACAATGCAAAAGTGCCTTTTAGTTTCTTTTTCTAAAAATTACCATATCGGCTGAAAAAGTTATAAAATACATAATAAATTATAGAAAAATCCAAATATAGCAATGTAAATTTTTCTAAACTTTTATTGTTCAGATCTACAAAGTAGAAGTGTAAAATCACTCGTTTGATACTTTATATTTTACATATAATTAGATGTACGCATTCCTTAGTGTATTTTTAGACATTCTTGTCTTCTATAACGTAAGTGCTAGCGCGGGGACGTCCGGATGTCCGTGACTCCTCTCCGTTTCCCGCTCTTGTTCCGTGCAGTGCGCCTCGGCCGCTAGGATTCGATCCTCTCGGACGACTCGCCCCGCCAACGCCGTCCGTCCACACGTGGGGCTGAAAGTACATTTGCCCCCTATGTGGATTTTGGTATATTAATGACATCCAAATTAGGGACTAATGTGATCTTAATGAGATATGTCGCAGCTATTAGTCCCATGAAAGATTCAAAGAGTTGATAAAGATGAAATTGTATCCCTCAAATCTTGAACTTGTAAAGGCGAACGAACTCAAAACGCTCTCCAAAGGTTTTATTTTTGTTTTTGAGTTTAGGATCCGCCGCACTATAAAGAGAGGTGCAAACTTAGTTGGTCTGAGAAAGATAGAGTGCTCAAGCATTAAAATAAAATCAAAAGAGAGACACTCTAGCACTCCACGAGCACGTAGAATATTTTTCAGTGACTGTTGGTGTCGGAAGTCGCGACTTATGCCGGAAGTCCTGACACCCAGTCACTTAGCCTGCGCGGTGACCGTGGCCGTCGAAAGTCACGACGTAAGCCGGAACTCCCGACCGTCGAAAGTCACGACTCATGCCGGAAGTCCTGACGCCCAGTCACTTAGCCTGCGCGGTGACCGTGGCCGTCGGAAGTCCTGACCCAAGTCGGGAGTCCCGACACCTAGGTTTTTACTGACCAGCTGTCTGCGCCTATCGGAAGTGCCGACGTATGTCGGAACTCCCGACAGTCGGAAGTCCCAACTGAAAGGTCCTTGTTGGTTTTGGTAATTGAGTGACAATCTAGGTGGACTAATTGTGTTTATGTGAGATACACAGGTGTTTAGTCCACAGGTACATGTGTATGAGCAACATATGCCATGGAAGTGAAAATGGCTTGGAGATGTTGCAAAGCTCACACATGTGATGATGAAGGAGCTTATTGCACATGAGACATGACATTGAGTCATGTGATCAAGGTGGAGAAGATCAAGACAAGACTTGGCTTGATGGACCGGTTGCAAGCGTGAAGGGCAAGTCAAAGGCTTTGGAGTGATGGACCGCGTGGCGGTGAAGCTTGAGCAAGACTTGGCGCCGATGGACGATAGCAACGGTGAAGAGCAAGTAGAGTCAAGATCGATGAACCAATATGATCATGTGATGATATAAAGTGGATCATATCATTGTTGATCGTGTTGGTGCATGTGTTGCATCGACATTGAAGGAGATGAAATGGAATGCGCAAGGCAAAGGTATAACCTAGGGCATTTCATTTCACCGGTCATAGGTGTGTAGAGAAGTTTATGATCGGGTTTAGGATAGATGGTCGTACTATCAAGATGGGCAAACTTGTTTGCATATCGGTCATTTAGTGCCACTCGAGTGATCTAACTTTGCATTGTCGCTAGGATCGAGTGGCGTGGCAAGTTGAGTGGCTAACATCCTTTGGGAAATGATTGTGAAAATGCTAACACACATACACATGGTGGTGTACACTTGGTGGTGTTGGCATATTTACAAAGGAGGTGGTGTTTGCAGGGGTGAGATGGGTTTGGGTCCCTCTCTTCCTCCCGCCGAGCTTGCTCGGCGGGATTCGGCGCTTTCGGGAAAATAGAATGCCTATTTTCTATTGCGCCGGATGCAAATTCTTGTGGTTGGCACATTGGAGCAAGGGTGAAGAAGTTAGAAGTGAAAACGAGTTGATCGCGAAGATGCTGGCGTCGGTCCACTGACCCGACGCTGGGTCATGCAGCGACCGGACGCTGAAAGGCTGCGTCCGGTCAAACTGATGGGTCTGCTCTGTACCGAGGGTATTGCACCGGACGCTGGTCTGTGTCCGGTCAAGGTGGACCGGACGCGTCCGGTCGAGAAAATATGCCTCGGGGAGCTTACTGGAAACGACCGGACGCTGGGGCTTCAGCGTCCGGTCAGTTTTACCGCTGCGTCCGGTCAAGTCAAGTGACCGTTGGAATCAGGACACATGGCCGTCTGTGGGCGACCGGACGCTGAGGTCCAGCATCCGGTCAACACGACCGGAGCGTCCGGTCGGCCCGACCGTTGCCCAGTGAAGGGGTAACGGCTAGTTTAGCCCTTGGGGCTATAAATAGAAGTGGCCCTTGGGGCTATAAATAGAAGTGGCCCTCGGCCATGGCTGGTGCTGAGCACCTCAAGGGACTTAGTGTCCATGCTTGTGAGTGCTTGGGAGCCCTCCATCACATACATACTTGATAGCGATCATCCAATTGTGTGAGTGAGCGATTCTAGTGCGATTGCATCGTGAGGTTGCATCGAGTGGCACTAGGTGATCGAGTTGCGAGCCGGTGGTGCTTGTTACTCTTGGAGGTTGCCACCTCCTAGACGGCTTGGTGGTGGTCTCCGTCGAAGCGCGCAAGAAGCTTGTGCGGTGCTCTGGAGTAGTGCTTGTGAGGGGCATTGTGCTCGCCCCGCGGGAGCCGCGAAGAGCAACTCTAGTAAAGCGTGTCATTGAGTTACCCTCACTCAAGGGGTAGGTTCTTGCGGCGCCCGACGTGCGGGCTTAGCGGGTGATGCTAATTAGCCGCCGAACCACCAAGTGAGCGGTCGACACAACGGGGACTAGCGTGTTGGCAAACACGTGAACCTCGGGAGAAAAATCATCGTGTCAACCTTGTTCTTCCCATTGGTTTGCATCCCCATTACACAAGCTCGCAATTACTTATATATATATATATATCTTAAGCTTGTGTAGTTGCTCTTGTGATTAGATAGCTTGTGTAGCTAGCTAATTACCTTCTTGCTTGTGTAGCATAGAAGTAGCTCCCTTACGTGGCTAATTTGGTTTTAGTAACCTTGTTAGTCACATTGCTTAGTTTGTGTAGCTAAGTATTTGCGCTCTCTAATTAGGCATTGGTTGCCTTGTTATTGAGCATTGCTAGTGAGCTTAGTTAGCTTTGTGCTTTTGCTTACTAGCATGTGTAGGAGCTCCCTTGTTACTTAAAATACTAGTGGCATAGGTTTGTGTGACCTTGCTCCTAGAATTGTTTAGGAGAGCTCTAGCTAGCCCGGCACCTTAGTTGCTTTATTAGTATCTTTGCAAGGTGCTAGTGATCATATATAGAGGGGTGTAGTCTTGGCTAGACCGATTGTTTTAATTCCGCATTTATATTGGTTAGCCGATGCAATTAATTTTAGAAAAGACTATTCACCCCCCCCTCTAGTCCGCCATCTTGACCCTTACACCAACCCATGTCGGGACTCCTGAGACCTAGGGTTTTGCTGGTCGGCTGTTTGCACACATCGGAAGTCCCGACGTACGTCGGGAGTTCCGACATTGACTTGCTCGTGCGGACTTTCTGACCCTGCGTGAACAGTGTTTTATGTTAAGGTCGGAAGTCTCGAAATCTGCGTCGGAACTTCCGACGTAGATCTGAACGATTAGATTTCTACTATGAGTATAAATAGCCCTCTCTTCACTTCTAACCGTTACAGACTCATTCATAGCTCACCAACCTTCGTCCACAACAGCTCCCAAGCAACAAAGGCACCCCTCTCATCTCTCCTTTGCTCCAATCTTTGATTCTCCTAGGGTTTTGAGTGAAAGGAGAGTGAATTAAGTGAGAGAATCACTTTCGCAAGCTTGAGCACTTGATTTCTTCGTCAAGCTAGTTGGATTTGCGTCTATTACTCTTGGGGCATTGCCCCTAGCCGGCTAGACGTTGCCCAAGAGCTTTCATCTTGTGAAAGAGCCTTGAGAAGTTTATATTACCCTTGATTTCTTAGTGAAAAGCTCAAGTGACCTTTGTGGTTGCTTTGAGAGAGGCAAGGAGGTGAAAGAGACTCTGATCTTTGTGGCCACCTCAACAACGAGGATGTAGGAGCTCCTTTGTGGGGTTGCCGAACCTCGAGATAAATCCTTGTGTCCCATGTGCTTGTTGTTATGTTTGCTCGAGATTACTTGTATTTGTTTGTCCCTCTTTCTCTCCCAAACTTCATTTTAGGGTTTGGACTCGATCTACGGTTTGAAGGCATTTCGGCGTCAAGGGAGTGAGCCAACATCTTCACCAAACCACTAGGAAGTGGG